GCTGTGAATATATTCGTATATGTTTGATAATTTCGTATGCTTCCATCATTCGCGTTTTTCGTGAATCAAGTTTTATTAAATATACATACTATTTCTGCGTACGAATAATAGTAATAACAGAGGAAACGTCTTCTCAAAATATTATTGTTAAACTTTAAATACGTATAATCATAAAATATTTGAATCGCTAAAATTATAATTCACAATTTTATTTTTGAATCGCTAAAATTATAATTCATAATTTTATTTTTAACAATATCTCATCTTTAATTATCAGAATTATTCATTATTTTCAATTCTATTTAAACGACGGTAAAGCTATTTTATTCAAATTTATATATACGAAATTTTATTCTAAAATTACAAAATAATAATCTAATTATATAAACATGAACTGAAAAAATGAAGAAACATTTTGTATGTAATCGTTATTTTTCGGTCATGTCGCGAAATTGCAACGTATATGCGCATCATTTTATTGCTCTTTGATTGACGCAAAATTCAGAATTACCACTGCAATTGCAAATTGCATTCTCAGTGTACGTGCGATATTTTCTCACTCTCCGTCCGCTTGTTCTCGTCGTAATAATGCGCCAGCATCGTCAATTTCAATCCCGGAGCTCATCTTTCGACGCTCTTAACTCATAACTTCTCATGACGCAGTTTTCATGTTCACCGCAGAGACCTCGTACCTCGGTGAAAGACCCCTACTCCAGGATTATCTCGGCAGCACTATTTCCTCTCTCTTTAACACAATTTCACTTCTCCGGCAGGAAACACCCCACGCAACAAACACCTTTGTAGCGCGGATAAAACGCGTGTTAATTGTCCTACTTGTGAGCAAACAGCTGTAGAATTGACTGCAATTAAGATTCCGAACTTGCTGGTCGACGTTAATGGATATCTAATTTGCTCTCGTTCGACTTGCGGTCCAAAGACGACGATGGGTCACGTAACTAAGACAAAGAGAACGGGAAAGGGTAGCGGAGAAACCGCCCTCGAGGTGGAACGAGAAGGGAAAGAGGAACGCACGATGCAGGCAGCGATGTTCATTGTCCTGTCGCCGGAGTCGAGTTTTGGTAGGAATGACAGGTTGATATCGCGGGCAAAAACGTAAGACGCTTGGCGACAGGAGTTTGCTGTAGACAGGAGGTTCTTGTCTACGAGAGTGGCTTGCGCAACTACGTCAGGTATACGTATTATGTAAAGGCGAAGTAGAAACAGCGTGTAAGTATCGACAACGGAAATTGGAAACTCGTAAGTACATGACGCGGAGATTACGCAACGGGAGTAGATTTGATCTCAGGGTGACAGTGACAATTTCCGTCATGACATATCGGTCGAAATTATACATATCCGCGTGACGCATTATTTTCATACGCTGGATCGCTCCCAGGCACACCTTTCTACGTTACGCGTCAATATTTCAAAACTGTATATTTAAATATAGTAGTTGAAATGTGGTGTACATTATGAGTGATAAATATTTTCTATAGCTTTCATAAAGTCATACAACAACAGAAGGATGAATTAAACGATACGTTATACTAGTGATGTAATTTATCATATATTATATGTGTAGAAAATACGTGTATATGATTGATGCAAATAAATAGATTGATTACCAGAAAGATTATCTGTCAAAATGAAATGCTATAAAGTAGAAGATAAAAATACGATTATTCGTAAAGTATTTTAAGATAAGTCGGAGAGAAGGTATATATATGAAAAAATACCCCAAAAGATATATACTCAAACACGTAGCAGAAAATTGCAATTATAAAAAAATTATTCTCCTACTAGTCCTTAGTAATCTGTAATCTCTTTTGAAGTAAACGTACTCTGTGGTATATTATATTGACTAACAGGGTGGAGTTGAGAAACACATGAAACATTCGGTTGGAGAACAAAGAGAGAGAGAGAGCGAGAGAGAGGCGTAGAAGAAGAGGAGATCACTTGTCGACATACCGCCGCACGTAATTTCCTGACGACGTTGCCTAGAAGAGCAAAACGCCGAGGGGGCGGAAAACTGGGGCGGCTCGCAAAATTAACGTAACTACATCGAAGAGCCTCAAGCTCTCAAGCCCTACGCGACTCGCTACGTGTCTACGCTATGATCAATGGCACATCACATAGCGGTACGAAAGCTTACTCTGCTCTCGTAGAGCCAAAATTTATAGTGACCTGATTCACGAGGCGCTATACCTGGAAACTCCGCACACAATCGTGACAGATAGTATAATAAATTAAATTAAGAGCGCAGGATGCCCATCAAAGGACGATGCGGTTAAGTTGAGCAGTCGAAGCGAACTGCTTTCGTGAGGCATGCCTCGAGCTACTCGTATATTTGATAGATACTTCGAACTTGATATTGTCCAATGAATCGTAATTACTCGGACTGTGAGAGACATAATGAAGCAAATATTTAGATTTAATTCTGCAAGAGTATTTTTCATAATTTAAGAGCTACAGAAAGCCCGGTGATATACTTTTGTAACATTAATTGAAACATATTCTAATATGGTTTCAAAGTTTTATTTTCGGCATAATATAGCGCACACGAGCCACGTATATAAAATTTACAATTATGCATTCCATGAATTTTGATTTTAATTACGTATTTTATAGAAACAGGAACGGCAAAAAAATATTATACTGCTAATTTATGAAAATGTCAAGATAGCTGACATTTAATTTATTAAAATGTTCCATCTGAAGGGTAAACGGCAGCTAAAATATTGGATTAAAACATGAATTTTTGCAACGGTGTGAAAAATGTGTTTGCATCGAAAATTAATAACGCGCATATAAGTGTTGTTATTTGTTTCTTTTCCTTTTTGAATTATTTTAGCTAAATTCTAGAAAGAAATCAGTTATATTCGATCGGAAACTAATAGTCATATTGCTTATCTCGCCGTGTTAAGTGCGCGCATATCGGATTAATAACAGTAAAATCAACGCAACACTAGGGAAACATTAAGACTTTAACCACGCGAGCAATGCTAGTGCGATGATCAATGGCACGTCATGCGCCGTGTTAAAGGCTTATCCAACTCGCATACTTGGGATTTATAGCAATCTAAGTGGCCTTGACTTATGAGAAATGAACGGCCTCTTTACACAAATCCATATCTTGTACAATTTACACATCATGACTTATGTTAATTAAAATTACGCCATCTTTGAAATTTTATGTATATATACAAAGTGTATCTGAAATGATACACTAAAGGAGCGCATTCTAGACGTCAAAATAAGACTTTTTTTTCTTATGAACATGGGTCCGCAAATAAACCTCCCATCGAGCTAAAATTCAAAAATGTGTGAAATTGACCAAACACCCGCAACGCAAATTTATCTCTTAGGGGAGGATGATAGGTAATGTTAAAACTTTTTTTTCTGAAATACAACCAATTTTTAATTTTTTCCCTAAACTTTAGGGGCATTTAGGTCGGAGGGGGATTTATTTGCGGATCCATATTCATAGAAAAAATAGTCTTGTTTTAACCTCTAGAATACATTTCTAAAGTTTAGTACATTATTTCAGATATACTGTATATAAAATCTGATGGTGTACACATTCAAAAAAAAACATAGGAAATCAAACTTTAGACATGAAAAGTTATTGTATCAGTTTAAATAATAATAATCTGAAATGTCGATAATCTGGCATTGACAATAGTAAACGTGTACAGTTCGACGTATTTCATGGTGGGAAAATAAACGGCTTGATTGCAGAAGCTTTGAGAATGCAACCCGCGTCGGCAGAAAGCTTTGTAATTCGCCGATGCTCAGAGATTTGTAGAGAGTGTCTAAAGTTTGATCGGGTTTGTAGTGACCCGAATTGGACACGATGAAAATTCCTTTCAAGATTTTAATCGTGACAAATCGCTCTGCAAAGCGGATAAGGGTGTCGAGGACTTTTTAACGGGTAGTGGACAAGTGGCAAAAGTGCTAATGTGCTTATGATTGAATAACCGCAACTTCGGAAACACACTTTACGCGATTATGAGTTCTATATGGAATGTCGTCAGAGTGGCACTGGGCGATTCTTGAGGCTTAATAGCTTTACGATGAAATCGCGAATGATAAAATTTCTTACGCTGTCGTGGGAGTTAACGAAATTTGCGCGATCGCTTAACCGTTGAAATGGAACTGAAGTTGATGGCTCTTGGCTTTGCACCGATTCGAGATTAATATTTCTTGAAATTAGTTTCCACAATTTCGTTATGCTCTTCTATAATTTATTCACGACCTTATTTCTTATATTTATATTAAATTCATTTTTAGACTTATAAAAATACGTATTTCTTATTTCTATATTTTTTACATAAATAATGTTTAATACTCTTTTCTAAAATAAACATTATTGTAATTCATTTTTTCTGAAATAAATAAATTAATACACTAATACATTAATACACTTTTAAACTGATTATGTATGTATTTGATAATGTAAGATTGCTTAAAATTGTAATAGTCTCGAAAAAAGGTTCAAAATACATCACGTTCAAGAATAATAATAACGTTATAAAAAAATTACCATTTATATTTATATATACGTATTCTTTAATCAAATTTAAAAAGTCGATTCTTTTTGTATAAAAAAACTGCATTAAATCACAATTACTTTAATCGTACACGGTTTCATTCTTTGATATTTTTGTTCCGCGAGAAGAGCGATTTCAAATTGATTAAAAACAAATATAATTCTCTACACTCTGACTCGTCAATTTTCTAAACTTAATAAAAGAGATTAATGTATTTAACAAAGTACTCTGACCTATTGTACGTATTGATTTCACGTAAGGGTGACAAATCTATCAAAAATTGATACAGATATCATGGATCTTATGGGAATCTATTTATTTGACAGCTCTTTAGATTCCCATCGATTTCATTTCTCTCCAGCATATGGCTCGATAAATTGCCTGAGATAATGTGTGCCACGTATTGCTATCTAGAATCGTGAAATTGCAATTAATGGTTTAGGAACTCACTTGCAGCGCGGGAATGTGGTACACGGTTGGCCCTCGGCGAGATCACCTCGCGTCACGGCAGGGATGTCCTCGGGCGGACGTTCGCCGACGAGCTCGTCGTGTCCAACACCCGCGGACCCGTGTCGGCCGATCGCGGAATCGGGGATTCAACCCTCTAACGAGGGCTGCAATCGGGGACGCATCGTGTCCCTCGCACCGGGAGCGATTCAATCCTCCGGATGGTCTCTAACGCGATGGTGCGACACGATCAGGATGGAGCGGCAACCTCCGGACCTCCACCTCGTTGTAAGCCAGTCACTATGCACTTCACGATCGCCGTCAGCTAATGCCGCGCACGAAAGCGAGTCTTTGATCACACCTGCTATTAATACGGTCACTGCACCCGACGACGATACACTGGCATGTCACACTAGCAAAACTCCCACTGCGCTCGCAGGTCGTCGCCCACACTCGAGAGTAATCACACTAGCCTCCTCGGAGATAGATCACACACAGTTTCCCTTCCGGCGGCTCATCGATGAGAGTCTCTCCTCTCTCGTGAGAGAAAAGTATGTCACTCGAGATAGCAGCCGCGCGATCAGACCGTCACTACCCCGGTGAAGGAACGCAATCCGAGTTGCCGATTCGCGCGCCGCGGCTGACCCTTCTTTCCCGAACTGGCGACGAGAGGGTCACAACTTCGAAGACACGTAGAAGAAAAAGGCAAAGTCGCCCGAGGCGATAAAAATGTTGGCGATACGTCACGAATCCATGCACGCGTGTATGTATATATGTATACAAATATATGTATATATATATATATATATATGTATATATGCACGTGTATATATGTATATATGTCTTGTATATGTGTATGTACGTGCGTGCGTGCGTGCGTGCGTGCGTGCGTGCGGACGTACGCGCGCGCGGTTATCAATTTTTCGCGCTCGCAGGACGCACACGCGAGGGGGCACAGCCGACACGCATCAGCCCTAGGAGAGACCCTTAGGCTGGATCCGCGGAGTTTCCTTTCACCTCGATTTTCGGTCCCTCGCCACCCCCGCGTTGCACAGGCGCGAACCGCTTTCAGAATTTCCGAGGGTCGGGCGACGCGCACGCGGGAGGGAGTGACAGCGAAGGGGGAGCGTTGCCGCGTCGGGGGTAGGGGCCGCCGAGGGACAGCGCTGGAAGTGGAAAGGACGGAGTACCGGGTGGTAAGAGTAAATCGCAAGGTGGCGAGCCTTGCCCTACGCTACGAGAGAGGAATAGACTCTCGACACACGACCGGTTACACCGGTACGGCCAGACTACCACTGGGCTATGCGATGTAGCATCGACGTGGGAAGGAGGGTGCCTTGTAAGCTCGTACTGATGGCGATGTCGTGATTGTGATAGTGCTGCCGTGTTACCGTTGCCGCAGCTGCTGCTGCTGCTGGTGGTGTTGCTGCCACCGCCGCCGCCGCCGCCGCTGCTGCTGGGTGGTACGGACGTGGAAGGGATGATAGGGAGGAATGGAGGGATATGGAGAAGGGGGATAGTAGCGCAGGCGTTTTGGTGCACCGACGCATTGATCCCTGGAATTCGTGGGGACGACGACGAGGGTCGAGCGTGTGTCCACCCTTCGCGAGGGAAAGAGAGAAAAAGAGCGAGCGAGAGAACAGGGCGGTAGAGAGCGTCGACTGTTCCACTCGTAGCCAATGTCCACACCTGCAGGTCGCGGACGAAGCCAGGATTTGATAGTGGAAGCGAGGTGTCATTGATTGGCAATTGTAGATCACTCGAGTGGACCCTGGATCGGTTGACATGAGAGAGCTGACGTCTAGATCGATATCAAAGAGATTTTCCCGATAACGGGATTAGATCTGTAAAGAATTTTACTAGAATGTTAGAAACTATATTTCATGTTACGTTAAATGTAGGAAATCCCGGATAAAAAAAAGTTTCTGTATATTTTTCGGTATATTTTTATCTCGATTTATCACGTATTTTTAAAAATAGAATAAGAGTGTTAAAGAAATGAATGAAAGAAATAATAAATAAAACTAGAGCGAGTAATCAATAATTTCCGAAATGTTGAAACAGCTGATTCAATTGTCCAGAATATTATTAATATTTATAGAACATACGTATTTATAATATATATATTATTTTTATTATTACATATTTCGCACATATATTTTTTACATTAATTTTATGAACTTGTAGTAAAAATACAATTAATTCTTAAATATCCATCTTGTCTCGTAAGAATATGAAATATTATGTGGCAGATTGATTCTTTCTTGGTAAGCATTTCAAGCATAGAATATATAGACTTTGCTATATGTATGTTACAAATAAAAGGTAAAAAAATTGCCACAATAGAAAATCAAAAACTCGATATAAAATTGTTAGATTTATCAAATTAATATTTTTTTAAAATATTAACATGTGCATGTAAAATATTTTATATATGTTTTAAAAAAATATCGCTAATAAAAAAAAACAAAATTTTTTTAAACTTTTATATTGCAATCTATAGAGTCGTAACAATTTGATGATCGATATACTTGTAACGAGTTTGATGCATTGAATACTTTAAAGAAATACGTATTTATTTATTATATTAGATATATCTTTTATTGAAAAATTGTCGCGTTGTAAAAATTGTCGCGTTGTAAAAATTGTCGCGTTGTAAAAATTGTCGCGTTGTAAAAATTGTCGCGTTTTTTCTATATAAAACAACACATAGCAAAAAAAATATTAATTTCGAGCGTGCTATTTACACGTTAGTTCTAAATTACTTTTTTTTTAAATTAGGAGATAGATTTTTACATAAAATTGTATACTTGCTTTAGTTATTTCTACAACAAAAGTTGATTTTTATAGTATTATTTTAGTTATTTGTCTATACAATTTTTAAAAATCGCTTTTTGAATCTTTTAATATTAAAATTGCACTATTGTTTCGTAAGAAGTAAGGTACATTAATTAAGTCATAAAAAAGTAACAGACGATGCGCCGTAATATTATTCATGACTCACAATATACATCAAGATATACACACAACGTACATTTGTCTGTGTGTACGCACACAACTGCCGGCAAATAAAAGCGGTATCTTGTCGCTGGCCGTGATTACTCGTTAATAAAAGAACATGGGAAAAGATGGAGTAAGACAAGGGCGAATCATATAGCAAGAAAATAGAATTAGAGCTACACGAGTGAGTCGCTTTGTGATTTTATTGATTTTATAATTTTTCTAACGTATCTAAAGACTCTTTTGTTCTATCTTATAGCTAGCACATGCACGGATTAAATTATTAAAATTTTAAATAAAGATCTTTAATGATCTAAAAATTTAATTACTTAAACTTATCGTTGAACTCTCGGAGATGAGAACGTTTTCTAATGTTGTTAAATTATACACTTTTTTCCTAATAAAAATAATAATTATAACATGAAGGTTACATTGAACTAGAATAGACATTCAATTTGATATCTTTATCGTACTTGAAAATAGAAACATCTGTAACATATATAGATGTATGTATCAATATATGTTATATTTTCTTATTTTTAAACAACAAAGAACATCAGTTCCTTTTACTTCAAGATATTAAAGTCATACAGCTATTGCTTTATATAGAAATAGAAGTGCTCCTCAATACATGCATTAAAAATTCTATCAGGTTTATAAACAATTAATGTTGAAAAAATGGATCAGACATCAATAGTCCCTCATAAAATTAGGTGACTGAAACTTGTTGTACTTGTCGAAAACCTTTAAAAGCAAAATTATACTTGACAGCTTTCTCCTTAGCTTTCATCCAACTGTCCAACTTTTCTTATACAGTATTAACTAAAAGGGAGAATTCAGTGCGACAGGAGGCTTCAATATATTTCGGGCAATTTTTGCGATCAGAAACGATCGTCAAGCGCGAATCGTGATACCTCAGATACCGATACACATAAATATATATATGTATATATATGTAACATCGCTCCCATGAAATATTCAGACTCAGTCTGCGTGCGGATATGTAGCATCGTTGAATAAATAACGAAGAAAGTAGGGAATCCCGATTGGTTCATAACTCCCTTTCATCCTGGATTCTTTTGGTAGTCCTAGTAACGAAAGCCATGCATCCAGGGAGCATAAGGAAATCGAAAGGGGATCAGACGATTTGCCCTCTTAAAAAGTTATAGATTTAAGATTTTTTTTATAGGTACATAGAAACTCGTTTCTCTCAAGAGCTATCTTATTATTATTATTATTATTATTATCATCATCATCATCATTATCAATATTATTATTATTATTATTATTATTATTATTATTATTATTATTATTATTATTATTAATTTCTATAATTGTTCAAATCTTACATTTTTTTCTATTTATTCTTACATGATGAATGAAATGATTTATTCTATTGATGGTGAAAAAGTGAAGAAGAACAGAATATTTCGTTTTGAAGTTTGTTACACGAACTATATTCAGATTGATATTTTTTACACAATTGCCCTCAAATTATGCTCATTCTATTGATTTAAAAAAAATACGATTTAGAAAAGACGAAAGAAAAAAGGAGAACAAAAGACAAGGAATGAAAAGGGGGAGAGAAAAGAGAAAGAGAGGTGAAATTTGAAGATACAAACGGGTAAATAAGATCTCTCAGTGAGCGAGGAGTTCGGGAACTGCGAGCTTTCGAGCAATCGTGTTGTTTCTTTCAAAGAATCGGAATAATAATTTTAACATTTTTCAAAACGGAATCGTTCTTTTATTCTATCGTATCGTGAGAAGGATGAAATATGCAATAATAAAAGTAGGACGTTAAATAAACTGCAAATAACAGATACTCGTTTATTTGTCAAGAGTTGTCTTGTTTCAGTCAAATGGAAGAGACCAATATATATCAACTAACTTACGTAGATAGTTATTTCTAACAATACTTTGAATGTTGCTGTCACTCAATTACATCTATCTCGTTGATTTCTTTTATAGGTGACTGCGTTTGTACATTATTTCTAACGATATTTTGAATGCAGCTGTTATTCAATTCCATTTATCTTACTGACTATAAGTGTAAGCTGAGCTTATATATATTTAAAATACAATTAAAACGAAATGAATGAGATGCAAAACTCTGTAGTTTTGAAATGTCTTTTTTGCGACCAGTTAACAGAGATCTTAGTTTCAGAAATTAAAACAACTTTTCCAGATCTCTTTATGTTTAAAGTTTGGAGAACAACTATTTCTAGTTTTGTTAATTTTGGATCTTACAAAATATATAATAAATAAATGATTAAATGAATTCATCACGAATTAAATTTGAACAAAGTCATCAATACATGTTTACTAACAAATGTTTTGGACCGTGTTATTTTCAAAAGTACAAAATTGAACACTGAATATTCTCTCGTGAGGCACTTTTTTATTTCGTCGGTCGATATTTCGATATTGTAAATAGTAGATATGTGAAATGCAAGACGCGCACGTAAATGTGAGCCCTTGAGCTTGGAAAGCTGCGCTTGTGAGTCGCGTTGTTTTCTCCAAATTGTCGGAAACCTTATGATGTATGTGAGGGAAACTCGGAAAAGTAACCGCATAAAACGAGTGCACAGAATCTATCGCGGTAGCGACCGCTTTAAGAAATATCGGGGTAACTTCGTGGGTCCTCAAAGAATGAAATACCCGGACTACGCTTAAACGGAGAGAACGGGTACAGCGGATACTCGATACCGCTCCTCTGGATAAACCGAGCTTGAGTG